GCGGTTTTCCAGACGCTCAAAGTCCTTTATTATTAGTCTGTCTACAACTCCAAAGCTCCGAATGTTTTGCTCCACCTTGTGATGTCATGAAGCTGTAGTTTCCAGTTAACAGCTACATTTGACCTTTTGTTCAGCGGAGATTAGCGATTTCAGGGCTTCAAATTCTTCTAGTCTGAAGTCCAAAGTCTAAACTGTAGTGAATGTGTATGGAGTTTAAAAACACAGTGGAGCACATTCTGTTTTTACCTCATGACGTCGCAAGTAAAACAGAGACTCCAGATCTGTTTGTGATGAGAAAACAACATAATAACTTTTCTAGCTATAGATATTCAGCCCATGAAATATATTTTTTTTAATATAAATCTGAATTGTGTAATGCAAACCTAAACATGGCTCTACCAGGAGTGGAACTTAAACCTACGAGGATTCTGAATCATTGGATCTTAAGTCCAACGCCTTAACCGCTCAGCCATCCTGGTACTGACACATGACGTTCATTCACATTATTTGCCTCAATCAGACAATTTTAGTGGCACCAGTGCACTTATATTATCTTCAACCTAAAATAGTTAAAAAGTAATCTGTGGACACTATTTTAACCTTTTGTTGTTAACTATTAGAGGCTGATTTATGATGGATTTTTGTTTTTAGCGATTATTTGTTTTGTGTTTCGAAAGCTAGATCTATCTCTCTAGGTCTCCCTGTAAATCATTAATGTTACTGTCCAAGCTGAAATGAAAGTGTTACTGGAAAACTTTCAGGCCAGTCAGACTAAGGTTACGTTCAGACTGCAGCCTGAAGTGACCCAAATCTGATTTTTTGGCCCCTATGTGACCTGTATCTGATCTTTTAATGACAGTCTGAATGACACAGATGTGATTTTTTCAAATGCGACCCAGGACACTTGGATATGTGCTCCTAAAACCAATACATATCCGATCTTTTGACATGTGACTTCAGTCTGAACAGCCAAGGCGCATTCATCCGACCTACACGTTATAATCAAGCCACAAATGTACACAAACGTTCTTCTCGTTATATGAAAATTGTTAATGAAGTCCGTGTCACTGAAGCGAAGCACATCACCACTCACCACTCTTGGCTACGTCTGCGCATCCACACGTTCCTTTCAACAGACTGTCCCACAAAACACCACGGCCAAAAACCTCGTCCTTCTCCTTCTCAATCTCCTCCTTAAAACAAGTAAGTTGTTCATGTTCTGGCTCCGGTACGAGAGGAACTTTAAAATCTCCAGGTGCTCAATGCTCGCGTCCATGTTTGGACAACTTCCATAAACACAGAAGCACGCTCGCTGCGGTTGACGTCGTTTTGTCTCCAGTGTGCATGTGGGACACTTTCGGGCCGTTTAACGTTCACAGTGGAGATCACATACAAGTCGCATTTAATTGGAAATGTGAACGACCTCGCAAAAACATTGGATTTCCAAACTGAGCATTAAGCCCTGCAGTCTGAACGTAGCGTAAAAGTTCAACTTCCACTAAACAGGAGTGGGATTTGAATCTGTGAGGGACAAACTCCTGTTGGATCTTATGCCCAACACACAAACCACTCATCCTTCTTCACGCACCTCAGACAAAGTTACAATTCTTTTTCTTTATTGTTTTATTCTGTTTAAATATTTTGAGCCCGTGTTATATCTGTACCAGGAGTGGGGTTCGAACCCACGAGGACTTCTGTCCACTGGATCTTAAGTCCAACGCCTTAACCACTCGGCCATCCTGGTGGTGCTTAAAAGTATTCGGTTTAGAGGTCTTGAATTTTCAGTCCCGCTCCCACACTCAGTCCCACATCTACGATATTTTGTCCCGCTCCAGCCCGCAAATATCTATCAAACACTGAGAGGGAAAAGGAATTGTCTAAAATGTGTGTAAAATTAGACCACGCCCGCAAATTTAGGCTGCTTAAAATGTTTTTATTATTTCCAAATAAAATATCCAGCACAAATGATGCACGATAGGCAAACATTCATCATTTGTATATTTAAATTTAAACTCATATTTAGTTTGCGGGAGTGCAGGGCTCTATCGCACGGGTCCCGCAGGATTTAGAAAGTCATTAAAACTAAAACACACACTGACCTCTAAACCCCTGCACCTGCCACACTGACCTCTGACCTCAGCATGTCAAACGTCAGGCAGCATGTTGTTGTTGTTGTTGTTGCTGATTTGAAATTTATAGCTGTAGTTATGTAACAGTTATATTTATGTATGAGTTTATATTAGTAAAAATAGTTTGATAATTGGTAATAAAAGTGATATGATAATTAAAACATGTTTATAAGTAATTATCTTGGAAGCTTCATGAAATATGAACAGAGCCAACACTCATTAAACTTAATAACATTTGATTGACAGATTGAGCTCAGTCAATCATCAGCTGTTCATTATTATTCATATTTTTTTAAAGCTTATACCATTTCTATGCCTTTGCTTTTCCTCATTTCATTGACACATGGGTCAAGTGCAGAGAATAACATGTGGACCGTAAAACCTTAACTGTTTATAATTGTAACTAATTATTAATCACTGGTAATTAGACCTTAAGCTTTAACTTTACTACACCCTTAACTATATTCAGATCATGTTTCTGCTAATAACATCTTCACGTTGTAGTAATTAATTTCATGAATACACTGATTTCTTGACAATGTTCAGTTTAACTCAGGGCCTTTTCTCTTTCATCCTTCAGGTCACTGGCTACTGTCCAAACTCAAACTGCAGTGTTGATGGAAAACTTCCAACACAAATAGAGCAAGAATCTACTTCCACATACCAGGAGTGGGGTTTGAACCCATAAGAGACATCTCCCATTGGATCTTAAGCCCAACACCTTAACAACTCGGCCATCCTGGTACAAAAAACACTTTTATACATATTAAAGAAGACAAACTTTTTTTTTTTCCCCCAAGGATTTTGTATTAAACTTACAACATAGTTCATTATTTTTACATTTTGTTTGTTGTAAACTGCAATATTAAACTAAAATGGCTGACACGGGACTATAAACCGGGACAAGGGGGCTTTTTTACTCTCACATACCTGGGATGCTGTCCTGAGGAAGTCGTCCTGCCTCCACCGGCAGGAAGACAGCGCCAAAACCTGTTTAAACCAGCTGACCGTACATGGTCTTCCTATAATTTATGTTATTAGGTTCATTTTTTGGACCAAGAGTTTGTTTTCTTACCTGACAGTTTCGACTGCTCCCTGCGCTCTTCCTCAAGGGCCGTTCACACCAGAGCGTCCAGTTTATATGTAAAGTCTATGTGTTTTTGTGGCGCGTCTTCAGACATTGATGCAGTGCGTCTTGAGCGTTCTGGCGTCGACACTCTATACAGCAAAAACTGGAGGGTTAAAATTTGAGGGTAAAATATGTCAGAGTTGTTTTTAACACCAAAAGTGTTATTTTAACTATTTGAAAGTTAAACGGGGGTTTGAGTTGATGTGGTTGAGGTTAATTCAACTTTCTCTAGTGTTAATTCAACTTCTCTTAGTGTTAATTTGGCTACTTCCATTCACCACATCAAACTCTTGTGAGAGAAGACCAGTTTGAACCAGTTTTGTACATAATTTCATCTTAAATGAACTAAAATAAAGTAAAAATAAAATAAAACACCTCTGTGTGTTGTTTAGTTAAGTCAGAATAACTCTACAAAGTGTTATCTGTTTACTCTCAAAACATTAATATAACTCTAGATTTCGGAGTTAAATAGGAACTTTGGTCCAGTGTTACTTAATTAACATTTCCAAAAATGTTAAATTAACTCTAGACCAGATTGGACTCATATAAACTCTGAGAAAATGTTAAAGTTGATTCTGTGAGAGTCAATTTTAACACTTCACTTTTTGCCGTGTAGACGTGCGTCCAAGGCGTCGACGCCAGAAAGCTGAAAATGCTGAACTTTCCACGTCAACCAATCAGGATCGAGTGTCCAGAGGCGTAGCGATGTTATTATCACCGAACCGGACCAAGAGCCACTTATACTACACCTGTAAAACTTTATCATTTTAATCCAAATATTCCTGATGATAGTGTAAACTGTTGGAAAGAGGTCACTAATGTAATTTCAGATTTAATTGAATATGACATAAAGGAAAACTTGAGGATTTTAAAGACATTTAGTTGCCCTTTTTGCGCATTGTAAAGAAGTTTGATATGTACACATGGGGGAGGGTCTTAATGTATGTATTTATTTATATTTTTGTATAATATAATTTTATGTTTCAATATCTAAAATCTTAATAAAAACATTTGTGAAAAAAAAAACAAAAAACAAGTGCGTGTATTTTACATTGATCAGTTCATTTCTAGAGGCTCAATTACTTCAATAAACTAACTTGTTTTCAACGACATAACAAGAAATATCAGTGTTTAAAGGTGAGCCACTTATGCTACACCTGTAAAACTTTATCATTTTAATCCAAATATTCCTGATGATAGTGTAAACTCCAACTGTTGGAAAGAGGTCACTAATGTAATTTCAGATTTAACTGAATATGACATAAAGGAAAACTTGATGATTTTAAAGATATTTGGTTGCCCTTTTTGCGCATTGTAAAGAATTTTGACACGTAGACATGGGGGAGGGTCTTAATGTATTTATTTTTTTTGTATAATATCACTTTATGTTTCAGTATCTAAAATCTTAATAAAAACATTTGTGAAAAAAAGAAAAAAAAAAAAGTGTGTGTATTTTACATTGATGAGTTGATTTCTAGAGGCTCAATTACTTCACTAAACCAACTTGTTTTCAACGACAAAACAAGAAATATCAGTGTTTAAAGGTGCACTTCGTAATTTTCCCGGTAGAGGTCTGTGACTCAGTTGTCTCCATGGTGACGTTAACGGCGTAGGAAGCTCCTGGGACATTTAAGTGCTTTCTAAACATCTGGCAGCGAGGGAGTTAACTGGCTGAGCACGTTTTGGGCAGGGCTTGACGCTATTTAAACTTGCGTCAGGATCACAAATCAGAGCCACACGCAGTAATACTACTAGAGAGAGTACTGCAACTACTACAGGACCTGAAAATGACTACACAATCTCCAAACACTAACAGTGAGTACTACTACTGCTAATACTACTAATACTTTGACCAGTATTGCAGTAGGGACATAGAAGAGTAGCTGGCTGTCAAATTTATACTTATAGTTTCTTGGCAAATACTAGTACGCGTGTGTTTTCAGAGCGCAGGATTTGGCACTGGTTGCAGTAAAAGTGTGTGCACGTTTTACCTGTTATTGTGGCAGAGTGGTTAGCCTTTATCATGATTTCAAATGAATAAGTTGTAGCCTATTTTTTTAGCACTGTGAGTAGAGAATTTACCTCTAAACGAGAAGATTCTGGGACATGATATGTTTAGACTTCTACATCTACGCATGAAATAATATGACGTTTGAAATTAGTTATTTATTTTAATTGACATTAGTTATTTTTTTCAGAGTTTACCAAGCAAAATTTAACAAAAACATATGCAAAATTAACTTTTAACTGTAGGGATGGGAGAAGATCTCGCGAGACGAAATTGCCACGAGAGTAAAATGATCTTGTCAGATTTTGTTTGTGTTTACATTTGGATTGGACTAAAAACGGTGGCGAATTAACACTTTGAGAAGCTGTAGTTCCAAAAAGTAGTGAAAAAAAGACTCAATAAAAAGGTAAAAACCAAAACTGTGAACTGAACACCACAATTTATTATTATTTATTATAATTTATATCAAAATTATCTCGTCTTGTCTCAATCTCGTAGACTTTATCTCGTCACTAGTCTTGTCTTGTGAGAATTCTGTTTCATCCCATCTCTACTTTTAACTAAATGTTGCTGTTTTTAACCAGTTTAGTTGGTTAATTTTATTTTACAGAGCTCATGTACAGCATAATTAATCAAAGAAACAGACATGAAGAGATGCTTTGTACCAAATTATAGTCCTAATAGCTCGTTTCCATCTGCAGTCCCTGAGAAATACAAAACACAGCACAAAAAACTATGTAATATATGTACAAATAATTATTTTTTAAAAAAGTACAATATCTCTATCCAAATCCTTCCCTACTCCATCTGTGCCTTTAATCAGACATAATTTAGTTCTTATATAAGTACATAAAGGGTCCTCTACCTGCTCGTCTCTGTGAAGATGTTATTTCTTTGCCTGGAATGTTCCATGATATGACTTTAAACACATCCATCCAGCATTTATTCATTATTCACGGGTGTTTCTGTTGCTCAAAAATACAACGCTGATGTTGCAGAGGGGTTTCTTTTTTGCTTTATGTATTGGTTCCAGACAGTTAGTATAAACTTACAGATTCCAGATACTTACACGGGTCCAGTCAAGTGGTAACGGAGGGAAACAGGGGCAGATTTTTTACATTCAAATAGTTGTTATTCAGAAACTAGAGGGACTATTGAAATAAGTAAAGTATCAGAATGTAGGAAAGAGTTACACTCCAACAGGGTAAAGTTAAACCTGTGATATTCTTTCAAGTTGTTGACTAAAAAACTCATGTCGGTAACGGAGGGAATGAAATATGCAGCACTTTTTGGGCAATAAATCCAAACAGTGATAACTCTTGGTTCTCACTTACATATCCTTAACAAACTGGTTTGAATATTTGCTTCATATAGTTTTCTACCATATGGTACAAGATTAGGTTGAAAAACCTCTTACTTTTTGAGTAATGAGATTTTTTATTAAGAAAGGTCATGGTAACGGAGGGAAAAGTAACGGAGAGAAAATTGTGCAAGCAAGTAGAAGGTGCATGATTTTGCATAATTTGTCAACTTTTTTCTTCCGAATACTTTAATATTACTTCAAAATGAAAGGAAACTATTTCTATAAAATATGTCAGTCCTTCCAAGCAAATTTTTATCATTTTAAATAAATTTTTTTTGGAAAAATCATGTACCTTCATCAACAGTTCAAAGATGGAATAACACAAGATATGATGAAATACATCAGTTTATTTACATGATTTTCAGGTCTTTGAAATTTGGGAAATAATTTTTGTTCCATGTTTCATACATGGTCTGTTTAAAACGTATGTAACTTTAGAACCAAAAATGGTACAGAAAAAAGGTAAACAGTTTCATAAACTAGAGTACATATGTATCTGTTCAATACATTTTTATATCAGATGCATTAACTTGAATTTTTGGCCTTGTTGTTTACTTTGCTTGACCGGGGCTCTTCAAAAAAAAAAAAAAAAAAAAAAAAAGATAGCTATTCAGTTTCTAGTAGTTAATAGAAAATAATTATTTTACAGAGAGTAATTTCAAGACCCAACTGTTTATCTAAGCTTTGTGTGTGTGTGTGTCTAATCACTGTGAACACTTTTGTGGTGCATTTTTGTTTGAAACGCGCTCTATAAATACAATTTGATTGATTGATTGATTGATTCTCTCCACATATCTGAATGCTGTAACCTGCTTGTTTCCCTTGTGATAGAAAGTTTTAATCTATACTGTGGAACATTCTAGACAAAGCAATAACATTTCCTTTATAACCTTTAATGCGTTGTTAAAAAGATTGATCTTAATTCAGCACTAAACATTTTAAAGTCTTGGCATAGTTTTGACAGAGAACGCTGAACCATGTTATACTATTGTCGCCTTTTCAAAAACATGACCTTGAATTCTATTGTATTTTTGCATTAATCAATCCATTAATCCAAAATTGTCTTCTCTGAGCACTCAAAAATCCTCCACATGCCCAGATTGTGAAGTCGCAGGTAAAATTTCAAGTGAGGTTTGAACCCACAATGAACAAATCGCATTGAATCTTAAGTCCAACATCACAACTACGGCCTGGGGACCATATGCGGCCCTTTAATCTTTTTAATCCAGCCTGCCAAACTTAAATAATAGTCATAATAATAATAATAATAATAATAATAATTTTCGGTGTTTTAAGTCATTTCAATAAATAGTAAATACCGTGGGACTTGAAAGACAGATTGACAGACAGTTGTAATGCTTTGTAATCTTTTTCAATTATGGGATATTTCAATAACATTGGATATGTTTCTACGTATCCCATGTTATTTTTTTCTCTTATGAAGTTTTATTACTAAAAACTCCATCCATTCTGTTTCTGGTCTGGCCCTTCCGTCAAATTTTAGAAACCCTTTGTGGCCCACGAGTCAAAAGGTTTGCCCACCCCTGCCTTAATCGCTTCATCACATGATACACATTTCTTAAATATTCTAATTATCATATTAAAGAAGACTTACTTTTTTGAGGATTTTGTATATATAAGATCTTATGTTATGCAAAATTGACTCTTGAGAGCTTGAAATCATGTTATAATGTTGTTGCCGCCTCAAAAAGCAGACCTGGAGTTCACACATGTTTGATTTATCCTGCATTATTAGTCAGTTTGTCTACATCTCCAAAGCTCAAAATCCTCTGTTCCACCTTGTGATGTCATGAAGTTGTACTTTTTAAGTTAACATCTACATTTTAGCTTCAATGTTCAGTAGCAACGCCAGAGCTGAAATGATCCAAATGATTCTAGTGAAGGTGTATGCAGTTTAAAAACACATTGGAGCACTTTCTGTATCACTACATGACATCACAAGGTGGAACAGAGTGTTTACCAGTTTGAGTGAAGAAGACAGTTGTGTGTCAAACAAGGCAAGGCAAGTTTATTTGTATAGCACAATTCGTACACAAAGTAATTCAAAGTGCTTTACAGAATAAGAAATACATTAAAATCATAAATAATCGTGAAGATTAAAATAAAAAACGAGAGACATAAATTGGAGAGAAGAGTGCGGAATGAAAACCTTTCAGTTATTTGCACAGTTAAACAGAAATGTTTTGAGCCTGGATTTAAACAGCGTCACAGAAGAGTCTGTCTCACATGTTCAGACTGTTCCAGGTTTTAGCTGCATGAACCTGAAACTCTGACTCCCCTTGTTTAGTCGTGACTCTGGGCACCAGCAGGAGGCCGGTCCCTGAGCTCCTCAGAGTGCGAGATGGTTCATATGACACTAACATGTCACAGATGGACTTTGGTGCTCGGCCATGGAGACACTTGTACAAGCAGAGCTGTTTTAAAGTCTCTGAGGCACAGGAGCCAGTGCAGAGACCAAACATGTGCGAATGAAACAAAACACAACTCCAGGTCTGTTTGTGATGACAAAAAACATTATAACAGATCAGAACATAGCGTAATATGGGTTCTTTAAGTTATAAAATGTGAAACACTTATCTTAAGGAAACCAAAATAATGTTTAAAAGAGAATTAAACCCACGAGAATGCATAATATATGGACTTTAAATTGCTGCGTATTATAACTTATTAGAATCTAGAACCTGAGAACCAAATAAGAGACCAGTTTCTTTTTGGACTTTCGGGTTTCTTGGTGAATTTTCGCGGAAAAAACTATTACTTCAAATTAAGAATCCTCCACTATTAAATCCTTAAAAACTCCTTTAGCGTGAGACAAAGGTGAGATTAAAGTTCTGAGAGTGAGCGAAGGTGTGGTGGCACTTTCATACTTAAGGTAAATACTAGTTTTTAAATGATTCACTACAACATCACGCACTGTGGGGCCTCGGCTTCGTGCGTGTCGCTGATAAACCTTGTGCTGAATCAGAGTGTGTAATTACTGTCAATTCTTTAAAAAACGTGAATGAGGCAGCAGCCCCCACACACACAACGAGATAAAGAAAATAAACTGAGGTGAGATCATCCGAGGCGAGGAGTGATGCGAAGTTACGTTAAATCGAGCTTTCACCGGGAAAAGCGTTTATGAACTCATCGTGGTGAGCAACGGGGAGTGTATCTGTACTCCCACAGTTTTCAAGGAAGTTTTGAAATAAGGAGCCTATGTTTTTCCTGATTACAGAGGGCGTGATTGATTGATTGATTGGTGGATTAATCATCATGGATCTTTGCTCGTAAAAAAAAGGAGAAAAAACAACACAGAGAACTGAGAAACAGCTTGAGTTTTCTCAGTTTTCTCACATATTTATTTAATTAGAACGCAGGTAAGGCTGGCTAAAACATAGGACAAAGGCAGTAAATAGTTGGAAAAAAAAAAATACAATCCTT